TATTATTATTAATTTATTTATTATTATTTATTATTATTATTATTATTATTTATAAAATTAATTTGGAAGTGAAAAAAGAACCAGCAGACAAGAGCGTCAGGCGGAGAGGCCGCCATAAGAGAACTAATGGTGGAAGACCGGTCAGAATAACCGGCTAATTCAATTCATCGTCATCGGGGCTAAATTGGAACGGACTGGCCTCAGATAACCAGAAAATAATGCGGTGATCCCCTAAACTGCAGATTGTGAAGAAAATAATTGAAACCACTGCAATATAGTGGTGGAACTGGGAAATATGGAGGGACACTGGTGACATGCTACAGCACGCCATTGGGATAATAATAATAATTTTTATTCTGACATGATAGATAGTTGTACAAAGGGATATTGTGGTTGAGTGTACATGCCAAAAGCTCTTTTTATGTAGAGCATTTCGGGTAAACTTAAAATTAACTTAAGAAGTTAATTGAAGTACAATTGAGTATTTAAACAATGAACTTTGAACATCATTGGTTCTTTTTGTGTTGCTTGAGTAAAAGGTTGGCATTAAGCACAGCTTTATTGGTTAATTTTGGGTGCTTAAGTAAAAGGTTGGCATTAAGTACAGCTTTACTGGTAAATTTTGGGTGCTTAAGTAAAAGGTTGGCATTAAGTACAGCTTTACTGGTTAATTTTGGGTGATGAAATTTCTAGGTTGGGCCTTAAATTGATTTACAGGCAGGGGTCCTTTAGTGTTTTTTAGTAATGAGTTCCAGATCTTTGGGCTCTTTACGTGCATGGCATTGTTGCACAGGGAGAGATGAACACGAGGGACACCGTAGAGTGATTTGTGTCTTGTATTATTGTTGTGTGGTCTATGTATGTAGTAAGCACGACTTTACTCACGAAACCGTAATGACACGATTGCAAACAAACCATACCACGGGTGGGGATAGAACCCGCGATCAGAGAGTCTGGAGTTTTGAGACTCTCTGATCGCGGGTTCTAACCCCGCCCGTGGTATGGTTTGTAGTAAGCACAATAGTAAGTGTGGATGTTTTGTATATTGAGTAAGTTAAGACTCTTGAAAAGCGGAGGAGTATGCTGTCTGTTACAGGAATTTGTAATCAATTGCACCGCAGTTTGTTGTTGGGTTATTAAAGGCTTAAGGTAATTTGCTGTGGTTGAGGCCCCATGCGCAAATACCATAGGTGAGATAAGGGTAGATGAGTGAGTTGTATAGTGCAAGGATGCCTACTGTTTTCGAGACTTTCTTGGATATTTGCTGTATGTGAGTTTGGAATTTGAGGCTGCAGTCTAGGTGGAGACCTAGAAATTTACCGTGTGTGTGTCTAGAAATGGGTGAATCATTTATCAGTATGTTTAGCTGTACATTTGTCGCTCTGTTTCCAAACAGCATAAAATAGGTGTTGTCTATATTGAGATGATCTGATACGAAATGTCCTCATATCAAAAACAATATACTCAGATCGCAACATAATAGAGGTCCAGACATGTATGCCGGGAGCCCCAGACCGAGAAAATATGATCAGTCATGAGGGAGCCTTCACCAAATTCAATTTCAATAACAAAAAACATAAGGTGGGACCAAGTAAACCAAGTCCTAAATGATATAAACTGGGAGGACAGACTAAGCAACACGGATCCTACCCAATGTCTAGAATAAATTAACTCTGTGGCATGATAAATGGTTTGAAAAACCGACAAGTTGAAGATTGAGACACTGCAGCATCATGGGATTTTGTTACAAAGACTTCCTCAACACTTGTCCAACCTTTGGACGAAGACCTACTTCGACTACTGGATGGTACCACTATGACCCCGCCTCCTCCTGCTTCACCTCACCTGACTACAATATATAAGCCACGTCTACGGCCCTATGCTGTATATTCTACAAGATTGATGGACTGAACACATCGACTCCAGGCTGTGGGACTGATTACCTCAAACTCCTCCTCTCCTTACACCCTCAGCTTTGTATTGGACTGATGAAGCCGCTGTGTGACGAAACGTTTCCTGAATAAAGATTCCCATATGTTGCATAAGTGTCTCAATCTTCAACTCTGTGGCACTTGAGGTATGCTCAAGGCATATTCCCTTAAGGAAAAGGAGATGTAAACTAGAAAGGCAAAGGTGAAGAATAAGAGAGCAGCTACAAGAGGCCAATATATCTGCAATACGTAGGGAAACACTGGCCAGAGAAATAGCAAACATCGAACTAAGGCTAAAGGAATCTTACAGGAGTCAAGAAATGCGAGAACTAAAAGCCATAAATGAAATTGAAAGAAACCCAAAGTATTTCTTTTCTTATGCCTGGAGAGTACCTGGAGAGAGTTCCGGGGGTCAACGCCCCCGCGGCCCGGTCTGTGACCAGGCCTCCTGGTGGATCAGAGCCTGATCAACCAGGCTGTTACTGCTGGCTGCACGCAAACCAACGTACGAGCCACAGCCCGGCTGGTCAGGAACCGACTTTAGGTGCTTGTCCAGTGCCAGCTTGAAGACTGCCAGGGGTCTGTTGGTAATCCCCCTTATGTATGCTGGGAGGCAGTTGAACAGTCTCGGGCCCCTGACACTTATTGTATGGTCTCTTAACGTGCTAGTGACACCCCTGCTTTTCATTGGGGGGATGTTGCATCGTCTGCCAAGTCTTTTGCTTTCGTAGTGAGTGATTTCCGTGAGCAAGTTCGGCACTAGTCCCTCTAGGATTTTCCAGGTGTATATAATCATGTATCTCTCCCGCCTGCGTTCCAGGGAATACAGGTTCAGGAACCTCAAGCGCTCCCAGTAATTTAGGTGTTTTATCTCCGTTATGCGCGCGCAGTGAAGGTTCAGCAATTTCACCTGCCTTGAAAGGTGCTGTTAGTGTGCAGCAATATTCCAGCCTAGATAGAACAAGTGACCTGAAGAGTGTCATCATGGGCTTGGCATCCCTAGTTTTGAAGGTTCTCATTATCCAAGACGGACTAGTACCGAACCTCAAAACTTTAAGGGTGATGGACTGATTACATCGTCTTCAAGTATCTTCTGCTTCTATCAACTTTTCTGTACTCGACTGAAGAAGCCTACTGTGTAGGCGAAACGTTTCGAAATAAAGATACCTAACTGTTGCATATGTGTCTTACCTAACAACCTGTCGGTATTTTATACCATTTTAATGTTCAATCTGTCAGACACTGCAACACAAGGGTATCTTGGTACAGACCTACAATCAACTTCGACAACCTCTACTAGTGAGAACGGCTGGATTCGAGAGGGACCTGACCTCCCAACATCTGAGTTCTTACCTCTTCTAGTGACCTACGTCTCACCTCTTGGCGCTATATAAGCTCCATCCTGTCACTTCATCTCCATATTGTTTCATACTATGGAACAATGCTCTTCTCCAGACTGAGGGACTGACCACCTCAAAACTTTAAGGGTGATAGACTGATTACATCGTCTTCAAGTATCTTCTGCTTCATTCAACTTTTCTGTACTCGACTGAAGAAGCCTACTGTGTAGGCGAAACGTTTCGAAATAAAGATACCTAACTGTTGCATATGTGTCTTACCTAACAGTAACAGCCTGGTTGATCAGGCTCTGATCCACCAGGAGGCCTGGTCACAGACCGGGCCGCGGGGGCGTTGACCCCCGGAACTCTCTCCAGGTAAACTCCAGGTGAGGCGGCTACGGTGAAAAGCTCTGTTCCACAAGGCACAGTACTCGCTCCCATCTTGTTCTTCATCCTCATATCTGACATAGACAAGGATGTCAGCCACAGCACCGTGTCTTTCTTTGCAGATGACACCCGAATTTGCATGACAATGTCTTCCATTGCAGACGCTGCAAGACTCCAGGCGGACATCAACCAAACCTTTAAATGGGCTGAAGAAAACAAAATGAAGTTCAATGATGAGAAATTTAAATTACTCCGATATGGAAAACGTGAGGAAATTAAAATACATTGGAGTATAACACAAATTCCAACCACACAATAGAGCGAGAAACTGATGTAAAAAACCTGGGAGTGATCATGTCAGAAAATCTCACCTTCAGAGACCATAACATTGTATCAATCGCATCTGCTAGGAAAATGACAGGATGGATAATGAGAATCTTCAAAACTAGGGATGCCAAGCCCATGATGACACTCTTCAGGTCACTTGTTCTATCTAGGCTGGAATATTGCTGCACACTAACAGCACCTTTCAAGGCAGGTGAAATTGCTGACCTAGAAAATGTACAAAGAACCTTCACGTCACACATAACTGTGATAAAACACTTCAATTACTGGGAACACTTGAAGTTCCTAAACCTGTACTCCCTAGAACGCAGGTGGGAGAGATACGTAATCATATTCACTTGGAAAATCCTAGAGGGATTAGTACCAAACTTGCACACGAAAATCACTCCCTACGAAAGCAGAGACCAGTGCGATAATACACAACACAATAAGTGTCAGGGGTACAAGACTGTTCAACTGCCTCCCAGCATACATAAGGGGGATTACCAATAGACTCCTGGCTGTCTTCAAGCAGGCACTGGACAGGCACCTAAAGTCAGTACCTGACCAGCTGGGCTGTGGTTCCTACGTCGCTTTGCGTGGTCCAAGAGTAACAGCCTAGCTGATCAGGCCCTGATCCACCATGAGGCCTGGTCACAGACCGGTTTGCGAGGAACCCTCTCCAGGTATACTCTCATGTACAGTACTAGAGGTGCAATAGTAGCGGAGTTGAGCGCCTCTGGTGGTGAGAGTGGTGGCCATGAGAGAGGTTTCTTGAAGGTGGTGGTGAGGGTCTCTTGATCCAAGGAATATGATCAATGCCACCTGGGAGTGAACTTATCTTCCCAAGTGATCTTTGACCCCACGGGTTGAGCGCTCCACCATGTGTAGTACTGATAGTGAGGGTGTGGTAGTGCCATCTAGTGGTGATAGTCAGAGTTAGTTAGGTTGTCAGTGATGGTGTTATAATGAAGATCAGGACAGTGACCAACCTCAAGGACACTTAAGGTCAGTTGAACTTCAGTAGTCGTAGAAGGGGGATATGTTGCTACTCCTCCTGCCGCCCCGCCGGTTTTACCGCTTCCTCGTCATTTTAATACACCTAAATAACGTAAGTATTGTCTGGTGACGTATTTGTCAGTACAACAGCAGAGTTGAGCTGCAGCTCCTGGTCCCCGCCACCAGTTTGGTCACCAATTTATTAATATTTTAATAATCTTAATTTAATTTTCTAATGTCTTGGAGGGAGCGGGGGGTGATTGACCTTAGTGGAGAGGTTTTGATGCGAGGAACTAGAGCTGCTCCTCTTCCTCGGATCAAACAATAATTCTCACGTTACATAACCCATAATAATGTATCCAGTTCTGGGCTATTTTCCCCTCAAGGAAGGTTCCTTGATGTTGGTGAGGGGCTCTTGATTTAGGGAATTGGATCTGTGCTCCAGTTCCCCGAATTAGGCCTGAATGCCTTCCACATCCCCCCCCCCCAGGCGCTGTATAATCTTCCGGGTTTAGCGCTTTCCCCTTGATTATAATAATAATAATCTGGGCTATTTTGTTCCATTATTGAAAAATAACTTAGTGAAGGTCTCTTGATCCAAGGAACTTGCGCCTTGTGATCCAGATATAGACTTTAATAACAAAAAAAAAAGGCACAATACGGTGACTGGAACGATACACAAATAACCCGCACATAAAAGAGAGAAGCTTACGACGACGTTTCGGTCCGACTTGGACCATTTACAAAGTCACACTCACCAGAAGTGGAGCAGGACGGCTATATATAGGCAGGAAGAGGTAGTAGTAGTAGTGGTGGTAGTAGTGGTAGTAGTAGTGGTGGTAGTGGTAGTAGTAGTGGTGGTAGTAGTGGTATTAGTAGTAGTAGTAGTAGTGGTAGTAGTGGTGGTAGTAGTGGTGGTAGTAGTAGTAGTGGTGGTAGTGGTAGTAGTGGTGGTAGTAGTAGTGGTGGTAGTAGTGGTAGTAGTGGTAGTAGTAGTGGTGGTAGTAGTGGTAGTGGTAGTAGTGGTGGTAGTGGTAGTAGTGGTGGTAGTAGTAGTGGTAGTAGTAGTAGTAGTGGTGGTAGTAGTAGTAGTGGTGGTGGTAGTAGTGGTGGTAGTAGTAGTGGTGGTAGTAGTAGTGGTGGTAGTAGTAGTGGTGGTGGTAGTAGTAGTAGTGGTGGTAGTAGTAGTGGTAGTAGTAGTAGTGGTAGACCGTAACGTCGTAAGCTTCTCTCTTTTATGTGCGGGTTATCCAGATATAGACTTGAATGTTAACAAATTGTTAGTTATTGTGTTTATGTCAAAGAAATATTTATTAAAGAAAAAGATTACTATGTTAAACATTAATGTTTATATCAGGCAGTAATGTTACTAGTTTATATTACACGGTAATGTTTATATCAGGCAGTAATGTTACTAGTTTATATTACACGGTAATGTTTATATCAGGCAGTAATGTTACTAGTTTATATTACACGGTAATGTTTATATCAGTAATGTTACTAGTTTATATTACACGGTAATGTTTATATCAGTAATGTTACTAGTTTATATTACACGGTAATGTTTATATCAGGCAGTAATGTTACTAGTTTATATTACACGGTAATGTTTATATCAGTCAGTAATGTTACTAGTTTATATTACACGGTAATGTTTATATCAGTCAATAATGTTACTAGTTTATATTACACGGTAATGTTTATATCAGTCAATAATGTTACTAGTTTATATTACACGGTAATGTTTATATCAGTCAATAATGTTAATAGTTTATATTACACGGTAATGTTTATATCAGGCAGTAATGTTACTAGTTTATATTACACGGTAATGTTTATATCAGTAATGTTACTAGTTTATATTACACGGTAATGTTTATATCAGGCAGTAATGTTACTAGTTTATATTACACGGTAATGTTTATATCAGTAATGTTACTAGTTTATATTACACGGTAATGTTTATATCAGTAATGTTACTAGTTTATATTACACGGTAATGTTTATATCAGTAATGTTACTAGTTTATATTACACGGTAATGTTTATATCAGGCAGTAATGTTACTAGTTTATATTACACAGTAATGTTTATATCAGTCAGTAATGTTACTAGTTTATATTACACGGTAGTGTTTATATCAGGCAGTAATGTTACTAGTTTATATTACACGGTAATGTTTATATCAGTAATGTTACTAGTTTATATTACACGGTAATGTTTATATCAGGTAGTAAATGTTACTAGTTTATATTACACGGTAATGTTTATATCAGTAATGTTACTAGTTTGTATTACATGGTAATGTTTATATCAGTAATGTTACTAGTTTATATTACACGGTAATGTTTATATCAGTAATGTTACTAGTTTATATTACACGGTAATGTTTTATATCAGTAATGTTACTAGTTTATATTACACGGTAATGTTTATATCAGTAATGTTACTAGTTTATATTACATGGTAATGTTTATATCAGTAATGTTACTAGTTTATATTACATGGTAATGTTTATATCAGTAATGTTACTAGTTTATATTACACGGTAATGTTTATATCAGTAATGTTACTATTTTATATTACATGGTAATGTTTATATCAGTAATGTTACTAGTTTATATTACACGGTAATGTTTATATCAATAATGTTACTAGTTTATATTACACGGTAATGTTTATATCAGGCAGTAATGTTACTAGTTTATATTACACGGTAATGTTTATATCAGTAATGTTACTAGTTTATATTACACGGTAATGTTTATATCAGTAATGTTACTAGTTTATATTACATGGTAATGTTTATATCAGTAATGTTACTAGTTTATATTACACGGTAATGTTTATATCAGTAATGTTACTAGTTTATATTACATGGTAATGTTTATATCAGTAATATTACTAGTTTATATTACATGGTAATATTTATATCAGTAATGTTACTAGTTTATATTACACGGTAATGTTTATATCAGGCAGTAATGTTACTAGTTTATATTACACGGTAATGTTTATATCAGGCAGTAATGTTACTAGTTTATATTACACGGTAATGTTTATATCAGTAATGTTACTAGTTTATATTACACGGTAATGTTTATATCAGTAATGTTACTAGTTTATATTACATGGTAATGTTTATATCAGTAATGTTACTAGTTTATATTACACGGTTAATGTTTATATCAGTAATGTTACTAGTTTATATTACATGGTAATGTTTATATCAGTAATATTACTAGTTTATATTACATGGTAATATTTATATCAGTAATGTTACTAGTTTATATTACACGGTAATGTTTATATCAGGCAGTAATGTTACTAGTTTATATTACACGGTAATGTTTATATCAGTAATGTTACTAGTTTATATTACACGGTAATGTTTATATCAGGCAGTAATGTTACTAGTTTATATTACATGGTAATGTTTATATCAGGCAGTAATGTTACTAGTTTATATTACATGGTAATGTTTATATCAGTCAGTAATGTTACTAGTTTATATTACACGGTAATGTTTATATCAGGCAGTAATGTTACTAGTTTATATTACACGGTAATGTTTATATCAGTAATGTTACTAGTTTATATTACACGGTAATGTTTATATCAGTAATGTCACTAGTTTATATTACACGGTAATGTTTATATCAGGCAGTAATGTTACTAGTTTATATTACACGGTAATGTTTATATCAGTAATGTTACTAGTTTATTATTACACGGTAATGTTTATATCAGTAATGTTACTAGTTTATATTACATGGTAATGTTTATATCAGTAATGTTACTAGTTTATATTACATGGTAATGTTTATATCAGTAATGTTACTAGTTTATATTACACGGTAATGTTTATATCAGTAATGTTACTAGTTTATATTACATGGTAATGTTTATATTAGTAATGTTACTAGTTTAT